TTTAATTTCTAAATTTTCTTTGCATGCATATCATATGGTTATATTCTTGCATTGGAATTTTGTGGGTAGATCCATTGAAAACCCTCACAAGACACAATTCGTTCACTAAGGTGACCTAGGGGTTTAAAGGTTTATTGCATATACTAAGTGCAATCGTGATTCCTACGAAAATGAGTTAGGTTTTATTTTTTTTTGTTATTTATTTTTTTATTTTATTCGAGGACGACTAAAACTTAAGTTTGAAGGAATTTGATCAACTAAATTTATATAAATATTATTGTAGAATTTTTACCTTAATATTATTGATATTTAGGTGAGTTTTATGAGAGTTTACTTGATTTTACATAATTTTCATTATTTATGTAGGAAAGGACTTAATTGAATGAAATCATAATTCCTAGGGGCAAATTGCAAAGATCAAAAAGTATGAGAATTAAGTTGTGCAGAGTTTAGAAGTTAGGGACTGGAATTGTATTTTACCATCAATAGAAATTGCTTAGAAGGTGAAAAACTCGAGACGATGATTGTAGCCTGTGCTTAACGAAGGTGTCGGCACTTAGTTGAAGGTATTGACCCCTTGCGTATTTTTAGAAATCTGTGTCTAATTTATTATTTTGGAAGTGGGTCTCACTTTTTTTTTAATGAGGGTTTCTAAAATCCTATAAATACTCATCCAAATTTAAAATTGAAAGGCTTTGGAGGCTGTGGTAGCCCTTTTTTGAGCAATTTTAAAGGTCAAGATGGAGGATCCATCAATAATAGAAGATCAAAGATTTCAACTTCCTTAAATTGAGTTTTGTTTTCCTTATATTCTTTTTATCTATTGTTTGATATTCTAATATTCAAAGATTCGTAACTATAATTTCAGATTTTATTATTTTTATTATGAATTAATTTATTATACTATGGTTATGATGTAGGCTAATCAATTTAGTATAAATTTTGTAATTTATACTTTCAATTAAAGTTATTCGCATAATGAATTTATATTATTGAATTTAATGCATTGAAAGTTTAATCACCTTTCAATTATTTAGTGATTTATACATGAAGTTGAGAAAGAATTGCATAAATTAGACCAATAATAATATAAACTGTGTTAAACTATGAGGTCGAGAGGTAATTAGCTTACATGTGGTAGTGAAGGAAGATAAAAGAGTTAGGAGCTCTCCCTTCTTAAGCTAGAGGTTTCCATAAAATTTAATATTCATTAGTTTATTTTAAATTATATAGAAATATGATTAATTTAACAAACAAGTGAAGGATTAACTTGACTTGAGAAAGCTAGTTAGTTAATGTAAGGAAATCCACCATCACATGCAATAACACTTACTAGATTAGTTTTGGAAGCATATTAATCTAGAATTTATATTGATTGATTATGGTGAAGTTAATGCCTTAATACCTCATATCTTGATTAGTTTTATTTTAATTGTTATTTTTACTTTATTATTTTTTTAATTATTTCTTACCTTTTTATTATTTAAATAAATTTAGATTAATTATTTTGGTACTTAGTTAACACAATCCTCCTGGATTCAACACTTTTCTCATCATTATATTATTTGAAGCGACTGGTACACTTGTTAGAGTTATTTTAGCGTATCACTAGTCATTAAAGCTAAAGCTATGAATATGTGAGAAGCTTTAAATGGCCTTATTGAGTATATTTGGATTGAAAACAACATTTAACAAGTAAATTGAAGCTTGGATGATTATCAAGGCATGGTAACATCATTTAGGTTTAAGAGAAGCTTAGTTAAGGTCATTGGTGTTGAATTACACAGTTTGTGTCAAAGTCATACAATTTATCGCAATTTGTAGTAAACTGATATTTCATGTTATTTTAGGTTATTTTGAGTGATTTTCACATTTTTTTGTATTATTTTTTGGGTTGAACATTCATTTATTTGAAGCCCAATTCATGGTTATTAGGTTTAGAACTTAGGGTGTTAGTTTTCTATTCTTATTAGGATTAGTTTTCTTTATTTAAAAGGCTTGTAACTCTAATTAGGAGACAACAATTGAATCTGAGTTTTTTGAGAGACTTCTCTTTGTGGTTCATTTCAGAACTTTACAAAATTTATCAAGATTATTCTTGCAGTGTTCTAACCTGACTTATTATTCTCATTCTTAACCGTTTAAGGCTGTGGCGTCAACCAAATTTATACCTCTGGTTCTTGTTGCGACATAAACAACGGGTCAAGGCTTTTCCTTTTGGTTCTTGTTGTGACATAAACAACGGGTCAAAGTCTTATTATAAACCTGATTTGGCTTTCTTGGAGTTTCAAAATCTTTTGTTGCGTTGTGGGTCAGTTGTTTATGTCACAACAATAATCAATGGTAAAAATGTTGACTCGTTGTCTATGACGCAACAAGAACTAGAGGTCTAAATTTGGTTAATGCCACACCCTCAAATGGTTAAGAACAAGAACAATAAGTCAGGTTAGGACATCACAATAATAATCTTGATAAGTTCTGTAGAGTTTTGAAATGAACAAAAGAGAAAAGTCTCTCAAAAAACTTAGATTCAATAGTTGCCTCCCAATTAGGGTTACAATCCCTTTAAATAAAGAAAACTAATCTTAATCAGAATAGAAAACTAACACCCTAAGTTCTAAACCTAATAACCCCAAATTGAGTTTCAAATAAATGAATGTTCAGCCCAAAAAATAATACAGAAAATATGAAAATCACTCAAAATAACCTAAAATAACAAGAAATATTAGTTTGCTACAAATTGCGGCAAAATTGTGCAATTTTGATGCAAATTGTGCAATTTTGATGCAAATTGTGTAATTTAGCACAAATTACCTCAACTAAGCTTCTCTTGAGCCTAAATGATGTTTACCATGCCTTGATAATCATCCAAGCTTCTATTTACTTGTTGCATGTTGTTTTCAACCCAGATCTACTCAATAAAGCCATTTAAAGCTTCTCGCATCTTCATAGCTCTAGCTCTTATGATTGGATCTCTTTGGATGTGTAATGGATCCCTTGACATGGTACATGTGCTATCATCTTGATTCCCATCAGTTTCATTATTTTCTTTGGGTTTTCATCACTTGGAAAATAGGATGGATTGGGTGAGTTTGGATTAGATTGTATCGGATCTTGGGTTTTTAAATTGGGTCATTTCGGGTGTCGAGTTAAAAGGGTAGGCTCATGACCCACTTACACAGGTCTTAAATTGGGTTAAGTGGATCCAACTTCTAAAGAATTAAAATTAAAATTTGTCTATATTTTCCTCTATTTTTCTTTAACAAAGTATAATATTAATTAACTATTTAGTTAGAAAACTTTATTAAACGCAAATTTTCATTTTGTGATTCAATTTTCATTCCAATCTAAAAAAAAAGAAAAGAAAAAGATTACTGATTATATAGATGAAACTAAAATATATGTCAAATATATAATACCTATATAATATTTAGAATTCATAATTTTATAAAGGTATTAACCTTTATTAAAAGAAGAGACATGAAGGATTAGAGTTTAAAAGACGAATCCAATATTTATGTTAATATCTAATACCTATTTAATATTTATAAGAGTATTATACAAAAAAAAAAAACAATTCTATTTAACATTTAAAGGGCATTATATAAAAAATATAACTCTATTCAATATTAAAATTCAAAAGGTAAATCCAAAATATATTTTAACAAATACAAGAAGAAATTGGATCGAGATTGATTTTTATTAATTAGGAACAAATTATTAACTAGGAACAAATCTTGATGTTTTTTATGTTCTTGTCTTTGTGCTTTTAATGGTGATGAGGGTATCTAAACCACTGAATTTTGATTTTTAGTAGTCATTTTTGCTTTCTATTAAAAAAAGAAAAAGAAAAAGATCTTTTTGACGGTACCATATAACACAATTCACTATGTGCCATCTAATTTGATTTTTGGTGTGAGTGCCACCAAAGAGAAGGATTAGAAAGCTTGAGATAAAGAAGGGAAGAGTGAGAGTGGAAAGAGGAAAAGTTGAGAGAAAGTGAAACTAACGGAAGGATAGGATTTGGGTATTTTATTTATTTCTACTTTTAGAATTAGGAATTTAGAAATTTAAAATTAATTTTTAAGTAATCTAATAAAAAAAAAAAGGTCAAGTCATTTGGGGTGACTCGAACCACTTGTGACCTAACCCATTTGGGTTCAGATAATTTTTGTTTGTGTCATTTCAAATTTCGGATTTTGGATTAACATACAAGACATGACCTGACTCATAATGAATGGGATGGGTCCAATTTTAGGATTGGGTCCAATTTTGCCAGGTCCACTCACCTTTGCTTATTTTTTAGGGTTTGCAAAGATTGATCTTCTCCTTCCGAATGGACAATGGGCATAAGACTTTAAAAGGAGAATTGGGCCAAACATTTCATTGGCTACTCTCTCTCTCCCTTCTTTTTTTTTTTTTTTAATTCCTTGGCCCACTTTCAAATCCTAACCCAACTTGTTCCCCTTCTTTATATATATATATATATATATATATATTTATATTTATATTTATTTATTTATTTCTCTCTTTTTTCACCCATTTTTTCCTTCAAAATTCGGTCCCTTTTCCATTTTCACCTTGATGGCTTTCACTTGTAGAGAAATTCTTGTCACATGGAAATTAAATACATTAGGATGCCTAAAAGCTTAATTTTAAATTATAAATTTTATTCATTATATACATTATATATTTATTTTTATCATCAAAATTTGAGTTAGGACAAAGAGCAAAAAAGTAACATCATAAGCATGCTAATTATTATATATACTGATAACAAAAACATAACACATTGCAATTGCATACTATTTATAACATCTTCCTTGGTTTTTATTAGTTTACCTTCTTTGCCGCTTTGGTGCATCATCAATGGTATTAAACCTTTACAAAGTCACAAAGAAGTTTCAAGTTCCCACTGCATTAAGAACATACAAATTTCTGTTACTTAAATGTTAAAAGCATAAAAGGATAAGCAGTTTATGGTCATTATTGGCAAACAAAAAAGGGTCAATAACTTATTAGTTGCTCATCACAACCATTAGAGTGTGCCCTTGAGCCAACTCAATTTGTACTTATGATTACAACATTTACTATGTCACGCCCCAGAACCCGAATCCGGGGACGTGATAGACACTGTGCACTCGTGAGATGGATCCCATAAATGCACAAGGCTCGGAACTTATCATACCACAATCTGATACCATCAAAATCTGAAGATCAAATTTTATAATTTGTTCTAATATCATAAATCTCTAATTAAAATCTCCAACTACAAGATCATGATTTATTTCTAAAATCTATATCAAATCTCGAAATGGCTAGCCTTCTAACTCGTCACTTCCCGTGGTTTCCCCGTCCTCGGTTTCGCTTCCTGAAATGGTGGACAAGTAAAAACTATGAGATATATTCAGTAAGTAAAATATGAATTGCCCTTAATTAAAGGTATAGCATGCCAACAAGTGCAATCACGAAAAAAAAACGGATACAGTACGAGAATGAAATAGACGTCTCCTTTATAGGTCATGGCCAGTGTTATAAACCTTCCACTGGCAAGCTACAGTATTTGCTGGTGTATAACCCCCACTAGCAAGGTTGAACGAACCGGTTCTATCAATAACATGTCGACATGTGCTAGTGTTTAACCCCCACTAGCAGGATCATCAATAACATAACCACATCGGAGACAAAACAGACAGAAGCTAACAGAAAAATCATAATTCACCAATCACTTTCAAATCATCAGGACAATCAATTAAATTTCAAGTAGGCATGCTCAATTTAATGCAAAGCATAAAAATTTCATTTCAAATCAGTCATGCTTGTGTAAAACGGGTTTAGTCCCGCCACCACTTCAAAAACAAATCAAAACATACTTTTAAAAACTGTATGGGCATTACTATAAATTTACTTACCTCGAATCGCATAAAACCGAAAACTCGATCTCAGTGCTAAACTGACAGAACTATCACGAACCTAATCAAAATATCCGAGAATCAATACCGTACTATCACAAATTCACACTGAAATCATCATTAAGGCTACCCCTAATCGCGATGCTATTTCTATTTGTCTCCACATTATCAAATATCTCCAAATTCATTCTTATATTACAAACTAATCATTTAAATCCCTGTTAATTGTTGACCCTCGTGTGAACAGTAGCCACAACGTGAACAGTACTCCCACTCCCAAAATTGGCAAAACATTAGCTAATTTCACGGGATTTCCTCTCCAAAAATCACAGCAATCAATTAACACTCAATCACATAAATCCCACTTAAATTAATGCTTAAATTTGTCCTAAAACTACCGGAATTCCTCCCCAATTTTCTGTCAAATTCGGACAACACAGCCAGCAACTAAATGGATAATTTAAGCCTTAAAAGGGCTGTCACATACCATAATTTCCAGCTAAAACCGGAGCTGCAGATTGGGGGGAGGCCGGCGGCATGGAAGAAGAAAGCTCACGGGCTCACGGGAAATCTATCAAAATTCTGGAGAAACAACATATTTAACATGAACCCAAGCTAATTTAAGCCTAAAACAAAGGGATTTAATGGCTATTTCTTACCCAAAAGGCCTAGAATTTCGCACCCACAAGCTGAAGCCGACGGACAGCAGAGGGAAGAGCAGAGCAGATCCGGAAGCTTCCTGCAGGGGGGGAGATTTCTGGGTTCCAAATCAGGTTCTTGGACAAGAAAAGAAGGGAAAAATCAAGCTCTCTACCGGTTTCCTCAAGGCATGGCTGGGTTCCCCCTTTTTTTTTTTCTTTCGGGTAGTTGCAGCAGGGTAGGGAAGAGCAGAAGCACGCGGGGAAGAAGAAAGAAAGAAAGAAAAAAGAAAAAGAAAAGAAGTTGATCCTTATCCAATATTTTCCCGTTTTTAAGTCTCTCAACTTTCAGAATATTCACATTAGGCCCCAAAACAATCTTTCTTCACAAGTTAGTCCCTAACTTATATGATAAAATTCCCGAAAATTTGGGATATTACAACTATTTATATGAGGCATTTTATTTATTAAATGTAAATTGTTACTTTTTTACAGGTTAAATTCAATAAATAGTCTATTAACTATGTAATTTATTTCAATTTAATCTAAAAACAATTTTTTCTTTCAAAATGATCTATAAATTATCAATTTTGTTTTAAAATGGTCTACTAGACTAACATTCTGTTAACTACTCATGGAATTCTTTTTAGCATTAACAAGTTGCCCACTCAACTTTTGAAAAATATTAAATACAGTACATATATTTTTGTTTTTTTTGCAATATTTTGATTTTGAAATTTAAATTCTATGTCAAATATAATAATTAATTAAGATAATAGTTTTAATTTACCTTTATCAAGATTCTAATTTTAATTTATAACAATCAATATTATAATTTAAATTTTATTATTTCTTAAAAAAATTAATACCATTATTAAATATTAATATTTTTAATAAATAAATCCTTCCAAAATTTAATTTAATTAAATGAGTAGCTGCACATAATTAAAATTACCTAAAACAATAAAAATTCATTTCAATTTTATAAATCCTCAAATTAAAATCATGCATGTATTGTTGACTTAATGTACTCCAAGAGGGGGGGTGAATTGGAGTTGAAAATTTTTCACCTCTTTGCAACCACCAAACAAAAATCAAAGAGAGAGTAGAGAAGAAGAGCTTGCACAATGATTTTATAGAAGTTAGGTCCAACCACTTAGAACCTAGTCCTCTACCTTGGCTTCACTCACTAAGGATTTCCTCCACACTCTCCACTAACAAAATCAAGGGTGGCTTAAATGAGTCACTTAATCCTTTTACAAGAAGAAAGGTGTTTCTCTCAAATCTCACCCCTTTACAAGATAAACCCCAAGAATCCTCTCTATAGATCACTCTTGAAGGATTAATCACACCCCCAAGATCATTCACAAATAGAACAAGAAGAGGATTACAAGTAAAGATCTTTCAAAGATAAAAAACTCAAGTTAAAGCTCATGTAGGTAGGTAAAGATATTCAATGCAATGCTCTCTAAACTTGTTTCAGATCTTCTACCAACCATATTTATAACACCATGGTCGAAAATAGTCGTTACTAGCCGTTGGGGGTCATTTAATGCTTTGCAGGTCGCTTAATTAGAGTTGCAGAATTGTTAGTACAGCTAGTTTACACTTCTAGAGTTGGCTCTATACAGCCAGGTTAACTTTTTTGCAGCCGGTTCTGCGAGTTTCTTGCATTCTGTTTTCTTCGTAGAACCAGCTTAAAAATTCTACAACTGGCTTTGTGGGTTTCTTGCGCATTCTGTTTTCTTCCACAGCCGGCTGCAAATCATAAAGTCGGCTTTGGGATTCTAACTTTAAACACATTAAATAATCTTCAAATAACTCGACTGTTGTGCATTAAATGCACCCTCACAGCCGGCTGCAAAGTTGGAGCCGACTTTGCGTCTTTTATCCGCGTGCGCCAAAGAACCAACTTTTAAGTTTTTACCTATAGGGCTGGCTGCAGCTGCCAGAGTCGACTTTATGCATTTCCACAACTGGCTGCAAGTTTCAATAGCCGGCTCTCTGCACATTTTCAAGCCTCTTGATCCATTTTTTAATGCAGTCCAAGTTTACTTACTTTGTAATCTTTTGACATTTTAACTATACATTTAAATGAATCAATTAGTCACTCAAATGTGTTTTGTAATCATCAAAATCATAGGTACAACATGTATTACTAGTGTTAAAAATAAAATTGAAATTTGTTATTTTTCTACACAAAGTAGTAAAAAAATGTGTAATTTAATAATGGTATTAAATTTTTTAAGAAGTAATAAAATTTAAATTATAATATTGATTGTTATAAATTAAAATTAAAATCTTGATAAATGTAAATTAAAATTATTATCTTAATTAATTATTACATTTGACATAGAATTTAAACTTCAAAATCAAAATATTGCAAAAACCAAAAATATATGTACTATATTTAATATATTTTCAAAAGTTTAGGGGGCAGCTTGTCAATAACTAAAAAGAATTCTGTTAGTAGTTAACATAATGCTAGTCAAGTAGACCATTTTGAAACAAAATTGATAGTTTATAGATTATTTTGAAAGAAAAAATTGTTGATAGATTAAACTGAAATAAACCACATAGTTAATAGACTATTTATTAAATTTAGCCTTTTTCTACATACATTAAACATCGGTAAAGTCCTTAGAATGCTTGCTAAATCAAAATGTAATAGCAATCTCCACTATTATGTGAACCATGTGATGAGCTAAATTTATATACATATTAATAGGGAATTTTTACTTTGATATTATTGATATTTGGATGAGTTTTATGAGATTTTGTTTGATTTTACATGGTTTTCATTCTTTGTGAATGAAAGGATTTAATTGGAAGAAATCTTACTTTTTAGAAGTAAATTGAAGAGATCAAATAATTGAGGATCAACTTGTGCAGAATCAAGAAGT